TTCTATACCAAAAAAAAGATCAAGTCCGTAAGAAGGTAGCTGAATAAGATAAACATTCATCAAGTTAATTTACTCTTTCTCTCTCTCTCTCACACATGTGCATTTGTACATCCATGAGAGAGCAGCTTCCTGTCATCCCATCACAAAGAGAGTCCTGTCATCCCATCACAGAGAGAGAGAGAGTCCTGTCATCCCATGAGAGAGAGAGAGTCCTGTTATCCCATCACAGAGAGAGAGTCCTGTCATCCCATGAGAGAGAGAGAGTCCTGTCATCCCATCACAGAGAGAGAGTCCTGTCATCCCATGAGAGAGAGAGTCCTGTCATCCCATCACAGAGAGAGAGAGAGTCCTGTCATCCCATGAGAGAGAGAGTCCTGTCATCCCATGAGAGAGAGAGAGTCCTGTCATCCCATCACAGAGAGAGAGAGAGTCCTGTCATCCCATGAGAGAGAGAGAGTCCTGTCATCCCATCACAGAGAGAGAGAGAGTCCTGTCATCCCATGAGAGAGAGAGTCCTGTCATCCCATGAGAGAGAGAGTCCTGTCATCCCATCACAGAGAGAGAGAGAGTCCTGTCATCCCATGAGAGAGAGAGAGTCCTGTTATCCCATCACAGAGAGAGAGAGAGTCCTGTCATCCCATGAGAGAGAGAGTCCTGTTATCCCATCACAGAGAGAGAGAGAGAGTCCTGTCATCCCATGAGAGAGAGAGTCCTGTCATCCCATCACAGAGAGAGAGAGAGAGAGTCCTGTCATCCCATGAGAGAGAGAGAGTCCTGTCATCCCATGAGAGAGAGAGAGTCCTGTCATCCCATCACAGAGAGAGAGAGAGAGTCCTGCCATCCCATGAGAGAGAGAGAGAGTCCTGTCATCCCATCACAGAGAGAGAGAGAGAGAGAGAGAGAGAAGAGAGAGAGTCCTGCCATCCCATCACAGAGAGAGAGAGAGAGAGAGAGAGTCCTGCCATCCCATGAGAGTGAGTCCTGTCATCCGTTACAAAGGGAGCCCTCAGCCTTGAAGAATGATCTTAACATAGCATAGCGCACTCCGTGGACTCCTCAGAACTGTTTGAAAACACTTCAATGGTCAGTTGGTTGGGTCAGTGACACTGTGTTATTCATCAACTGCTTAATCCAATGGAAAACTCAAGACACAGAAAACCTGGGTACCAATGTGCTAAGAGCTAATGGGAAAGGAAAGGTCAGGAAGTGACTTGGGATCTGCTGGGGACAGTGGACAGACATTTGTCAACCATCATGGTAACTGGGGAGATGTTCAGTTGTCGAGGACTGTGAAACATGATGCTGGGAGGTGTCAGTCTTTGTCTACATGGCAGGTGTCACTCAAACCTTGCCTTGTACTGGCAGACACTGGTAAATCACAAAGCTTCCTGGAATCTTACTTTAGGGCACCTAAAAACCATCACAACCGAGGAAAGGGGATGCAGTATCTAACTAGGGGTCAACTCTTCCTACAGAAATAGTCTCAGAGGAAGAACAGGCATAGGGGAGAGTTCTGACTGTCAGCTTGCCACCTCACCTCCAGCTGAGCAACTTTCAGCCAGCGAAGAAGCTCTCTGAGCCTTGGGATCCCTTGCTTTTTTTTTTTTTTTTTTTTTGGTTTTTACGGGACAGGGTTTCTCTATATTGTTTTGCAGGCTGTCGGTCCAGCCCGGCCTCGAACTCACAGAGATCCACCTGCCTCTGCCTCCCGAGTGCTGGGATTAAAGGCATGTGCCACCACCGCCCGGCGGGACCCCTTGCTTTTCACAGACGCCTGTAGCCAGCACCATGGGGTCTCTGTAGGGGTTGAACACATATGGGGGTGCTCACTGTGCTTAGCCCTCAGAGGACAGCTAAGAGGCCCTGCATTCGTGGGAACACATGTAAATCTCAGGAAGGCACATGGGGTACCACATTAAAGGAAAGAAGGAGCAGCATGGTGTGTGTTCCCGGAGGAAAGCATGCGATGGTCAGAGGAGCTGGGAGAACGCATCTTCGGGTCGCAGGAGGAAGTGTGTGCACACACAGGAAATACGTCACCCTCCAAAGTGACCGAGAACCCCGTGTGAATTGGACTAGAGTAACCTGCAACATCAGGAGGACGTAGAAGTAGGAAACGCCTCTTGTCATCCTGTCTCAAGGGCAGGAAGCCCAGAACTCTCTCCTGTAGCCCAGGCTCATCTGGGAACTGCAAATCCTTACAGCTGTCTGGCCTGCAGGGTGGTATCTGAAAGTCAGACTGGGAATACCTTGGTGGGGCTGCTCTCTCCAGGACCCAGTTGTCCCCCCAATGCCCTGCACCCCAAGTTATACTCATCTCCACTCATGGTCTGATCTACCAGTGTTCTCCATCCCCCATGGACAAGTGATCAATAAAAGAGGAGCAGATGTGGTCAGCCATCATGACCAAGGATCCCAAGAGCATAATTAAACTTCTAAAGATGGCCCTCTGGATAAGCGTGCGGGGGGGGGGGGCAGTGGGGGTGCTGAAGAGGCAGTGTTGGAGAAATGCCTGGAAATTCAGAAGGAAACAGGGCGGGAGGGAGGGACAGGAAAGGGGAAAGCAGCAATGGTGGGGAGGGCAGACCAGGGTGCCAGGAGAAAGGAGAGGTGCTTCTTGTCTTTAGCTGGATTGGGTGCTTCCATATCAGAACCAAGCAGTGTCCTCCCCACAGGCTAAAGAGCTCACATAGTGATCATCATCCCCCTCCCTTCTGTCTATGCTCTGAAGGGGACAGGATTGATGCTGGTCACCTCGAGGGACTATCCTGTGCTTTGGAGACTCCAGGCAATGGGTTAAATGAGAGTAAGCTAAGAGAACCAGGGGAGGGCATGTCTGCTTTGGTAATAGAGTGAAAAGAGGCAGGAAGAGGGGACCAGAAAGGACAGGAGGGCAGAAGGCTCGTATATGGGAAGACCTTAGGGATGAGAGCCCCAGAGTCACAAGGGAGGAAAGAGGGGCATTTCCTTGTGTTATAATGGGATGGTTTTAAGTTCCCATAAAGAGACAAGGAAACACTGGATTCAGTTTCTCGTTGCTTTGGCTATTAGACCAGTCTTCTTTGAAAAGAGCTGCTTTACACAGGACCTCAAGATTGTTTGGGTTACAGCCACATCAGATCCACTTCTCTGCAGTGGTGTGGAAAGGAAGAGACTAGAATTTAGAATTTAAGGGAAAAACCCACTGCATTTCTATTATTATAAAGAAGGCATTCAGAGGCAACAGGCTCAGGGGAACACAGGAAAGGACCAGAATGAGGGGTAAGGAGAGTGAGAACTATGTCCTGGACAGGACTTGGATGCCACAACCCTGAAAATGTCCCGGTAGGAGATGAGTAGCTGATGAGAACCGGGCTTCTCCGCATGGCAAGTCTGAGCCTCCCGGGAAATCTTAGTTGACATGCCACAGAGGAATGAGCCTTTTGCCCTCCCTTGAGTGGGCACAGACTCTCACTGGCCGCTCCCAGCTCCTTCTCCCCACGCCCACGCACTGCACTGTTCTTCAGCTAGAACATTCTAAGGTGCACTTGCTATTGTTCCCACAGAAACGCATCTTAAAGTGCAGCAGAGAGCAGTTGAACCTTGCCTCACAGGATCTGGGTGGGAAAAGATGTTCTCAGCACAGGCATGAGGGAAGAAAGCACTGGAAAAAACCCAAATGTGACAGTGCAGAGAGGAAGATCGTTCCTCTTTCTAAATGACTAACAGTGAACCTCTGGGGGGGGCAATGCAGAATGACAAGGGCTTCTAAAGTTGGACCGCCTAGCGCAAAGCACTCGAGTACAGCTCTGCTGCGTCCCTTGTCAAGCAAGTCCTCTCTGCCATGCCATTTGCTGGCCAGCTGAACTCATGGGTTCCTGGCTAACCTTGGGAGCTCCTCCTTGGCTCATTAGGTCTGTGGCTCGAGACTCCTGCTTGAGGGTCCCTTTCCCCTGGCAGAATGTGTCCACGTCGCCGCCAGAGCCACCAGCAAGCCCTTCTAGAGAGCGCAGGGGCCCTGGCTGCTGAGAGTCTGGCACACTCGTGTAGGTGCAGCGACTTCTGTGCGACTTCCTTCCCTCCTCTGGCCTTTCAGAGCCCCTCTCCCCCACAGGCCTCTTTCCCCAGGACTTCCACATTTCATTCTCCTTCCTACCGGCTCATTACTCAACTATACAGCAATGGTGAAGGTCTTGGGAGCGTGCCACACAAATCCTCCATTTCCCGCTTCATTCTGCAGAGGAATAGCGGAATCACTTGACGGTAGCCTGCCACACCATTCTCAGAATTCTCAGGGGCTCAGCTGCCTCTTGGTGAGTTCTAAGTTCTTATCCCCACTCCATCTGTAAGTCACCAGGCCTCCTTAGCAGTTTTCTCCAGTCCACTCATAGTCAGCCAGGGACATCTGGATGCAGCCTCCGATGCTCCAGAATGTACGGGGTGTCCCTTCAGCCCCTAAACTCCATTCACAAGTACACAAACTAGCTAGACCCAAGGTCTCATTCCCCCTGGTTCATCCTTGTCCCCTGGTTCTTTGAGCTCCATTTTACACTTCTGCCTCTTTCCAATTTGGAATTCCGGGCGTCTCTCGGTAAGTTTGAAATCGTGGGCTTTCCTATGAGCAGTGGCTTGTGCATAGTCAACACTCGGTAAACGGTCCAAGCTTTCTAGCTCTGTCTGTATAAGGCGCTCCCCCCGCCCCGCCCCTAAAGAATTCACGTACTCAGCCCTGTCTCCTAAACCGAATCGGCTGTCTACAGAAGCGCTTCCTCAATTTAAGAACTATTCAAATCCCTGGGGACTGGCTAAGAAACAGCAGCTGGTTCTGGTCTGGGCAGAGGTCTGGAGTCATGCTCTAAGTTCCCAGGTGTAGCTGGGATCCATTTACACTTGTTGATCAGCCCCAGCGGGCTCATTTCGTGCAACATCGCTTGCCCAGGTGGAGAACCCCAAGGCCGAGATGCTCCGTCCCGTGAGGGCCCAGGAAGTAGAGTCATCGAGAGACCAGCCGGCTCACTTACCTATGGTGGACACCACAGTGCCCACAAAGTAGAAGGCACCGGTGAAGTCCCAGCGAGGGCGCACGCTGTCCATGCGGATGCCCGCCCTGGTGGCTTCCTCGTAATGACTGAGGAAGCCGCGCAGCTCTTCGCGGCTCAGGTTGTGGCCACGGCTGAAGTTGGCCAGACGCTCTTCCCAGCGCTGCTTGGCCTGCAGCTCGTGCGCCAGCTCCAGCGCAGAAAAGACGGCGGCGCCGCCCACTAGGTAGAGCAAGATGAGCCCTGCGAGCAGCAGGAAACGCGCGTTGTCCTCATTCAGGTGACCCGGACCACAGCCGCACCCTCGGCCGGCCATGGCACTGGAAGACAACCCCGCGAATGCCGCGGCCCGCAGACTCGTGCCCACGCCCTGGGAAGATCAGGCTCTACCGGCCCTTAGCCCGCTCCTCGTGCCGGCTCGCCCATGCCCGCCGCGCGCTCCCGCAGGCGGCGTGGATCCCTGGCCGCAGCCCTGGCTGTTCTTGTGGCGCCAGATCCCCAGCCCGGACTCGTGGTTTCGAATCCGCTTTGTCTCCGCTACCTCCCGGTCCGCCCTGGAGTTCTCCTTAATGGTGAAGATCAGAACGTCGGGGCGCAGTCTGCTTCGGCTCGGTACGAGGGGGCGAGCGCCCCGGGACTCACCAGATCTCCTGATCCTGCTCAGTTTGGGGAGGGGGCGTGGCGCGCCTTCAAGGCAAACTCGAGAGAACTTGAACTCATCTTGAAGAAAAGGCCGTGAGTTCAGACAGAATCGGCGGGTAAGGTGAGCATCAAGGTCCGGGTTCCTCGGACCATCGCTTACCACGCTATGTCAGCTGTCTTCCGTGCCTCTCCAGATGGATCTGCGGTGCGTATTAGTGGCAGTGTCCTGATGAGCCTCTGCCCTCCTGAATCACCCAGGCTTAGGGGCTGGAACGGGTTTGGGGCAGGCACGGACGCAGGGACAGTACGGAGAGGCAGATCTCATGATCTGCCGCCGGCACGGATGTCGGCCAGGCACACAGGCTCTCAGGCAGCACGAGGGCGGACCGCTGGGGAGGAGAACAGAGGGGGAGGTTGGAACAGTGAAGGAAGTTAGGAGCATCCTCCCAGGCAGCCCTCCTCGACTTCCCCCTAACCAGAGCGCCCTGGACCTTTAAGCCCTTCACTGGTCGTTCTCTGTCGCCACGTGCCGGCCCTGCCAGTGGAGAACCGGCCAAGGACAGCAGCCAGGAGAGTTCCATCTCTTCTACCCGGGCTTGGGCTTGACTGCCTCGGCTCTGTAGTTCTTGCGCAGTCAAGGGCTTTGTACCGAGTGCTCCTAGCTCCAGCATGCAAGCCAGCAGCAAGGCTCTCTAGTGAATCGCTGGGGAATCCACCCTGAGACCCCCAACTTGCAACAGACTCAGGAGCCACGGCTGCGTTCGGGTCTTACTCCCCTCCCCCACAAACGCACCTGTTCTGTGAGATAGGTTCAGGATAGTCCTTGGCTCCCCTTCTCAAGCGGCACTGCCCTGCCCAGTGAGGCTGGGAGCAGAGGTCTATGCTCGGTGCTGTCCTCTCTGCGGGGCGGTTCGAACATTGCAACAGGTGGAGCCCTGCTGCTGCCAACCGCGGTGACTCCACCCGGTGTCCGCCTCTCAGCCCCAGGGCCAGTCTCCTGCGCTGGTCTCTGCCCGCGCTCGCCGGAAGCTCTGAAGGCCAACCTCAGAGCAGTGATTCTCCCACACGGGTGTGCAGATGCTTGGAGTGATTGCTTAAGAACAAGGTCGAGAGCCTCGATGGTCTGCGTGGGTCCCTCTGGGGCCAGAAGAGGGCGCTGCGTGCCCTTTAGACACACCTGATCCCTAGCGGGTTCTCCATTAGCACGCCGACTACTGCACAGGGGACCGAATGTGTCTGCGTGAAGGAATGGATTCATAGGCGCCCGCGATCTAAATAGAATTTCTCCGCCTATGGAGAGAGAGTGGTCCCAGGAGACCCACCCACGACACTCGCCAGAAACAGAACTAGAAAGGCTTGCAGTTCTGTTGAGTAGATGCAAATGCGTTTGATGAAAGCAACTCTGGCGATTCCCCTTGCATTGTCTCCTGGAGAGGAGGAACTTAAGAACTTAGAACTGGATGAATTTCACAATGATACCACACACCGACACCTATATTTACAAGTGACAGCTACTAAACTTGATAATAAAAAAAAATCTATCTGCGCCTCTCTATTCGCCAACCCATTCCGTTAGGATGTGTTTTGAAAGGTTGTAGACACTTCACCCCATCTCCACCCAGTGCTGGTCCTTATTTAAAGTTCTATACTCAGATTTTGCCTTTGGGGTAAAATTTGCATGAATGACATGCAAATGTCCCATTAGATGAGTTCTGACAAATACATCTTTGGGGGCCAAATAATGGTCCACCTCCCTCCTCATCTAAGTGCCGTCAACTGATCAAAGCTCCCACAAATATCACCCACATGCCTGCAGAGGTAACCATGGGTCTGCCTTCTTTTTCTACCCTGGATTAGTTTTCCTTTATAAAACTCGGCTTTGCCTATTCCGGTCTCCAGACTCATGAGAGACATAATCGAGTGTCTTGTATAAAGTGTGCTTCTGAAGCATATCCATGTTACATGTCCTAGTCATCATTTTATTGGCTCTTCATTGTTTGGACATGCCATGTTTTTATTCATGTTTTGTGACAGAAACCAGGAATGTGAGAACATGCCATGATCATAAATAAAACTGTTAGGAAACATGAGTTCAATTTAAAAAAAATAAAGCTGTTATTGACATTCCTATCAAGGCTTTGTGGATGTTTCTTTGGGGCAAACACCTAGCAGTGAAATGCTGAGTCATAGGTAAGGATGTATTTAGTGCCAGACATCATTTCAGAGTAGCTCTACTAGCTCACGATGCACTGTCCACATCCTTATAGACACTTGGCAGTAGCACCCATTTTAGTTCATTGTAAGCCCATTGTGTAACTGGCACATAAACTTATCTCATTGGGGTTTTGTGTTTTCTGGATACCTAGTATACTGGACATTTGCATCCCTTTGTAAATGGTTGGAATAGTTTGCCCACTTAGAAAATTGGTCTTGGGGCTGGGAAGATGGTTCAGCAAAGTGTTCATCACTCAGGTGTGATGACTAGAGTTCAGAGTTCCAACACACACACACACACACACATGAACATGGTGGCATCTATCTGAAATTCCAGCACCACAGGTGCTGGGAACAGGTGGAGTTGACTAGCCTGTATTCCCAGCCAAATCAGTGAGTTCCAGGTTGAGTGAGAGCCCTTGCCTCAAAAAATACGACAGAGAGCAACTCAGACACCCAGTGTTAACCTGGATCCACATGCATGCATGCACATCACACACACAACACACACAATGCACATATACAGAAATTGATCCCTATTATTGAGGTGTAGTGTTTTATGTATCTAGAATACTAGTTATTTCTTAGACATATATTTTGCAATATTGTTTTCATCTCTGGCATACCCATTTAGTTTTGGAAACATCTTCTGACAAAGTTTTTAGTTTTGGTAAAGTCCAGTTCTCCAGTTTGTAACAGTATGATACCCTTTGTACATTAGTACATTAAGAAATTATTGCTGCTTTCAAGGTTATGTGTTTTGTCTCTCTCCCCTAGTTTGCATAGTTGGGTCTGTGTGGTGTAGATCTAGTTTATTTCTTTACTGTGCAAATCAGACTTAAGGTTCATTTTATTCAAAAGGATATCCTCCACCTTTTTCTAATGCCGTTTATCGAGAAGGAAAGAGAAAGCATTTACTTCAGGAATCTTTTATTTTGTCTACTATTTATCCAGTTGTTACACCAACAAAAAGGCATTCAAATTTATTTATAGGTTTTGAAGTCAAGAAATGCAAGGTTTACACCTTAGCTTTTTCAATATTTCTTTGTATGTGATACGTTGTTTCCATTTTAAAAATCAAAGAACTGTGGTTTTTAAAACAAATTTTTAACATCAACACAGAAAAGGTCTATGTTGTCTTGATTAGGACTGTGAGAACCAGTTTCGAGAAGCAGCATTTTGATGTCTCATGAATGAGGTCTATCTCTGCATTCACACACTCACACCCCTAGTTGCTATAGTATAAAGATCTTGCATGTATTTATCCTAAAGAATTATTTTTATTCTCTCAATTGTACTGAACATAGAAATTTAGCTGTTTCATCCTTCATGTTTGCTGTTGTAGCCGATAAACTTGCTGCATTCATTATTTGTAAGGATCCTTTAGGAGTTTCTATGTAAATAACTGTCATCTGAAGCAGAGGTTTGCCTCCTTAACTTTAAAAAAAAATCTTGTCTTATTGCAATGTCTCAGAAATAGTAAGACACACAGGAACTGGAAGCAGGTTAATCTTCTTGTTAAGGTTTATGAGGGAATCCTTCAGTTTGTTATTACAGAGGCTGTGAGTTGTGGGGTTGCCATAGAGTCCTCTCTGCTCCCCAAGACAAGGTTCCACTGTATGGTCCTGGATGCCCTAGAAGAGCAGGCTGGCCTTGAACACAGAGATCCTCCTGCCTTTGCCTCCTGAGTACTGAGATCAAAGGCGTGTATCACCACCACCACCACCAACCAACGCCTGGCCACAGTTGCTTTTTGAGGGTGAAGACATTTCCCTTTATTTCTAGTTTTCTGTGTATGCTTTTTTTAAATAAGCAAGAGTTGATTGTTGATTTTTTCAAAGCTTTTTCCTGTGTCTATTATAATATCTTATGATTTTTCTTTATTCTGTTAATATGCTGTATTTCATCAATTTATTTTTAGTTAAGGATAAACTTTAAAAAGGATGAACATTTAAACATATGACATTTTTGAGATGAATTACTTGGTTTTGTACTGCATTTCTATTTTTCTACTTCTCCTTGGGTTTGCCTCCTCCTTTCCCCAGCTACTTATGGTGTGTGCAAGATCACTGATTTTTAGGCCCTTACTTTAAAAAAGTATTTTAATTACTCATAGGTGTATATAATGTATTTTGGTCAGATCAATCCCCCATCCCCTTCCTCCCCTCCAATTTCTCCCCTATCCCTCCACTACTTTCCCCTCAGCTTCATGTGCTCTTAAAGCAGACAGACAGACAGACAGACAGACAGACACACACACACACACACACACACACACACACACACACACACACAGTCCATTCAGTGGTTCCTGTGTGTACATGGTGTGGGACCATGTATAGAGGATGGGTAGCCTCAAGGACCCCATCCTTGAAGAAAAGTGCTTTTCCTTCCCTTAGCAGTACCAATTGTCAATAGCTCCTTGGACAGTAGAACTTTATGAACCCATTCTCCATCCATGCTGGGATTTGGCTGGCTTGGTCTGTGCATGTGGTTCCAGGCGCTGTGAATTCATGTTTGCAATGGAGCTGCCATGTCTGGCAAATACTGTTTTACTAGAGACATTTTTTTCCCTCTGGCTCTTAAGGTCTTCCTGACCCCTCTTCTGTGATGGACTTTTCCACTAACATTTCTTCTACTTTAAAGCTGAATTTTCCTGTTAGTTCAGTGCTACCTGCACTATAAACACTTAAAGGGATGCCATATTTTCGTAATCTTTTGCTAAAATATTTTTCTTCTTTGGCTTGTGAACCATATTCAAATATTTTTGCTTAATTTTCATTTTGCAAAAAAAGAGACATTTCTAACTTACTACACATGTAGTCAGAGGCTTTCTTAATGGTCTAGTCAGATGGCGTGAACACATCAAATGCTCTGGGAAGTTTGAGTCTTCTGCAGGTATAAGTGTGCAGGGCTCTGACTACGTCAGTCTGGTAAAAGCATCTGCAAATGCTTTTTAGCTCACTTTTTTGTTTGTTTTTGGTCTAGTTAATTTTATGGACTGGTAAAATAGGGGTATTTAAAACTACCAGCTACCCTTGTGTTGTTTCAAGCATTTTGAAGCTGTAAGGAAACACATAACATTATCACTATAGCCTCTCACATAGTGGCGTTTTGTTTGTGTGAAATGTCTGCTACATTACCATCTGCTTTGCAGAGGCCTATATGTGATACCAATCCGCTCACAACAGCCTTCTTCTGCCTGACATTTGCATACTATCATTTCCAATCCATTTGCTTTGAACCTGTCTCTCTTTACATACTTAGACCCTCACCTCTATTTTCTCCTCCTTCTCTAACCATCTACTCATACTGCCTCTTGTCCCATGCTGACCTCAGCAGAGTCTCAGGCTGAGCCTGGAGGCAAGACTTCCCATGAACAAAGCCCCCACTTGGGGGTTCCAAAGCTTCTGGGTCCACCCAGCTGAGACTCTTCAGTCTACCCATTCTCTAGAAGCAAGCAGAGGTCTGGGAGCGGTGATGTGGAAGAGTGCTGGTTTCCAGGGGGCCTGGGTTCCCTTTTCTGTGCTGGTTGTGAAGTTCTCAGGGCTCCAGGGGCTGCCTGGTCCAGGCTTGGTTACCGTTGACATGGACAGAATCCTTACAGCTTTGATGGAGTTCTTGTAGTGCTCAGGGTACCATCCATCCTTATAATCCTCCAGGTCTTAGCCTTACTTTACAGATGAGAACAAGATGCAGGCATTAGCGGACTTGCATAAGCTCTCACAGCTTGGAGGGACAGAGCTAGACAAGACAGTCTCCAGTGCCTCGAGGCTGTTACCTCCAGGTGTCAATTCTCTCAAGCCTTAAACGAGATGACTATCAATTCAGAGTGGGTGAACCAGCACTCCTAGAAAAAAATGCACTTTACATGGGAATCCCCAAAACACTCAGGTATATAAACAAACAAAAAACCCCAAAACAACCAAACTAAGCACCCTTTTTTAAAAAAAGACATCTCATCCAAAAGTACTGGCTGTGACCTACTAAGAGGAATTTCATGATCCACCATGGGCTGTGACCCTCAGTTTGAAAAATTAGTTCTAGAACATCCAGATTATACAGGGCTCATTTATTTACTCAGCTTATTTTTCAGGAACTTGGACTTTTGAATACATCAGTAAGCTTGTGTATACTCGGAGCAGACATAAAAAGGTCCCTTCAGCACAGTGCTAATACTTCTCCCAGATGTACTTCTTGATGGAATCGATACCGTTTTCCACTTATCTCTGGCAATTTCTCAGGCTCCTTCTCTCCCTACCATGGTCACCTTGTGGTCCAGGTTGCATGCATCTGCAATTTATAGAATGTACTTGTGGCTCAAGGTAGCCCATTGGGCCACCGGGGCCTCTGGCTACATCGGTCTGGGAAGCAGTTTTTCTCTGGAGTGGCTAGCTGAAGGACCAGAAATCTGGGGTGATTTCAGCTTCCAGGTGGATGGAGAGAGTGTGTGTGTGTGAGAATGATGGTCAGAGTCTAGACAGCAGAGCCGAGACCTGGATAGTCTTCATTGCATTGTGGATCCCCCGGCTCCAGCTCCCTCAAAGTCTTCCCTAATGACTGCGACTAATTAACCGCATTTCTGTAACTGTGGA